GGAGGACGCGTAGAGGCGTCGACGATCCTCCCCGTGCCAAGCCTCAATAAACAAGGCACCCCGTCGACCGCTTCGGTACGCGCGCAATCGCAGAGCCGAACGGACGAAGCGGCAATTTACTTCTTCAAGAAGCAAAATTATAAGGTCACCGCAACGGTCGGACAACGACGCGCGATGATGCGCGCCATCACGCCGGTTCTAGATTTGGGCGCCGGCCCGAATCTAATCCACCTACGCTGTGTGGCAGAACCGTGGCGCGCTGCCGTCCAGTCCGCGCGGAGCCCGCCGCTCATCGACGCTTCCAGTAGGTCGATGAAGGCCCTCAGCGAGCTCAAACTGTACGTCCGGATTGGTGAGCTCGTCGCGCGCGTGCCGTTCTTGGTCGTCACCAACCTTGCGGTGGACTGTATCATCGGAACCGCGTTCCTGGATCGCCACGTGAAGGCGATCCTGCCACCGCAGAGGAAGGTGCTGTTCCATCATGCGCCGTCCGTAGCGCTGACGGGAGTCACACCCTCGAGGCACGACCGCAAGATGGCCTCGAGGGGACCGTCACAGCAGCTCCCGCAGGAGGAAAATTCGGCCGACCGGAAGCGCGCGCAGTTCCCGACGAACGTACCGTCACGGAAAATTCGCGTGGTCAAGGGGGTCACGATACCCCCGATGACCCAAGCGATGGTACGCGTCGCAACACCGGTTGGGGGGCTTTGCTTCCTGCAAAACCACCCTAAAACGGCGCATAAGAATTTATGCCTGATGGCCCAGGGGGTCATGGACCTCTTCCGGGGCGAGCCGTTTACGGTGCTCGTTAGCAACTTCGGAAACCGTGCGGTCCACGTCCCCAAGCATACCGTTGTCGGTCTCGCGTTGCCATCCCCCACATACATCCTGACACTTGGCGTGCCGGTCCCCGGAGAGGCCGACGCTAAGGAAGGGGGAGGGAACAAAAATAATTCCTCGACCGCTACGGAGGAACAAGCGCGACGCGAACAACCAGTTACGGACGATGGCAGAAGAAAATCCTCCACCGCTACGGAAGGATACGCGCGTCGCAAAGAATCCGCTACGGGAGGAGGCGCGCGACGCGAAGAACCGGAAACGGACGACGCGCACCGTGGCAATCCCGCTAACGCGGATGAGCGGACCGATACGGACGCGGAGAAGACCAGCTCGTGGGAAGAAGACGTCCATATTTGTGCAGAAGACAGCACCGTCCGGTTTAATCCTCCCCGGTACTGTGCCGCAGGACGCAGGGACCCATCGAGAGGACCCGCGGACCCCGGTGCAGTACAAGTGCGCTACGCTGCGCAAGCTTCGCGACGCTCTCGACCGCGCTCGGACGAAATTAACCGCATCGCAAAAGCGGTACAAGGACGATTTTGACAAGAAGGTTCGCTTCCGTCCGGTTATTGTGGCGGGCGATTTTGTCTACGTCGATCGCCCGCCCCGCCCGTTGACAAGCGTCGAGCGCCGCACGCGTGCGCAAGGTACGGCCGGAACGGACGAGCTCTCTGTCAAACTACTACCGAAGACAGAGGGTCCGTTTCGCGTGCGCTCCGCTACGGACACCACGGTCCTCATCGAGCAGGACGGCGTGGAAAATCGCGTGAGCATCGACCGCGTTACGAAGATGCCGCGCGGGCTGGGGGATACCGTCACCCCGGCCACATCAACCGAATCGGACGCACAAGCCGCAACGCCAAGAGCGGAGTACGTCGTTGACCGCATTGTTGGACACCGTACTACGCGCGGCGGGATCGACTACAAGGTCCGGTGGTATGGATATACCGCTTCGGACGACACCTACGAGCCCGCAGATGGGCTTCCGCAGCCGTTTATCGACCGGTATTGGCGCTCGCGCCAACAAGGATCAAGCGTGCATGCGTAGCGCAAGTTTCGGCCGCCCTCGGTCGCACCGCTCGGACGCTCGCTCGCGCAAAAGCCCCTGGGGAAAACAAGCCGCGCACGTGCTATGCAGCCCCGGCAGCCAGCTGCGTGTGACTGCGCACCGCGACGCAGCTCGTACCGGGTGGATCCCGCGCAAATGGATGCAGATGCTTCCAAAATTGGCCAGCCCTCCGGGAGGGTGGTCCACAATCCGAAGTTCTCCCAAGCGTCCACGCGGATAGCTATCAGCCACGCCTGGTCGCACCGTTCGGATGATCGCCCTCGCACACGCCTATGGAAAGGGAGAACCGTACCGGGAACCGGTACTTTGTATTGAGATGTATCGCGTTCGCCGGCTTTTTAATTTAGTCGCGATTTGGGCTACGTTTTTCCCTCCCACGCTGCGGGAAAAAATCGTAGCCCATTTCTGACAACGGCATCGTACTCCTGGGAGCATTCCGCGTCCGGTAGTGTCGCCTCGGGAAAACCGCATTCGGACATATTTGGAAACCAAATCTGTTTCTTCCGGTTTCTTACCGTTTCTTATCGTTTCTTTCAGTTTCTAATTCCGGCTGGTGGAAAGAGGGCGCTCCGTACGGTTTTTGGATCGGTGTTGGCGCAATAGAGGCCGCTACCGCAAGGGAGACGCGTGAAACTACCGTGTGGTGCCGTAGTACGGCGGGTGCGCCGCTCGCGCCGCTCTTGGGATGGCAAATGAACGCAGATTCTTTACAAATTGGCCAGCCCTCCGGGAGGGTGGTTGACAAAGGGAAATTACCCCGACCGTCCACACGGAGCTCGCGTCTCGCCCGTGTGCGGGGGGGCAGGGCACAGCCGTCCTTCGACCCTCACCCGGCCCTCCAGAGGGCCGCGGCGAGCGCTGCGTTGCGTGCGCGCCATGCCGCCGTCGCTCGACCGAATCGGACGAATCGACCGACGCGAGCGCGAGCCCGGCCAACTCGGGGGCCGATCGCGGCTCTCCGCAGAGGCGACGTCGTAGTTGGGACGCGGGAGGCGCTTGCGCCGACGCCGGAGCCCCCGCAGGGCTCGACGGCGCACTGTACGAAGGCGCTGCAGCAGGACTCTCGCGGTCGACCGTTCTCGGATGCGGCAGGAGCTACTGTAGGGGGATGCCGTCGCGGGAGGAGAAGGCAGCGCGCGCAGGAGAGTGAGAAGAGTGAGGAGAGTGAGTTGAGGGTTCGGCGGGCTTCGCTTGAAGGGAAGTGAAGGACACGCTTACCGAATCGGACGAGACAGCGGGCTTACAGAGCGCCCACTTAAAGAAGAGCTAGGAGGCATGGTCGTTCGCGCGCGCAGGGGAGAAGACAAACCGGAACGGAATCGCGTGGTCGGATGGGTGGTCGCTACGAGGACGTAGCGAAAGCTAAGGAAGGGGGTCTGTAGTATAACGACGGACGCGCGCGCGGGGAGATTATTAACAGTGCGGCCGTGCACGGTGGACACGTGGGCGGGTGTGCCCACGTGTACGGAGCGCGCGCGTGCCGAGCGGTCGTAATCTGGCGTACGTGTACAGTAGTGCACGTGTCGGCCAAGCGGTAGTCTACCAGTATGACGCGTGTACGCTAGCACACGTGGCATCCGTGCGGTAGTCTGTAAGCAGCGCGTGTGTACAGTAGTACACACGTGTAGCTGCAGCGTCCGCGCGGTAATTAGGAATTGAGGCGCTAGTTTTTTAATGGCGTACAGTACCTGGTACGCACTAGGCGGCAGGTACTGTATACTGGGACAGGTGTCCGAGGCGTCCCTCTGAGGGGTTAAGACCTGACACCCGTCCCCACCAGTAAACTGGGGCAAGCTCGCCCCCGTCCCTTTCGCGCCTATATACGTCCGTTTCGGTTGTCTATCGCGCGCGATGGCTTCTAACCCGTTACCGGTCGCTCCCGTTCACGCACCACGGGGCGACTGCGCGTAACCGGCCAGTGAGCCACTCCCTTTTCGCGAGCTCGTCCGATCGGTTACCGCGCGCCGCGCGTCTCGCGTCGCGAGCTCCCTCGGCTCATCCTCCGAGCCTCTCGCCCGCTAGGGTTTGAGGAGAGTTGTACCACATGTAGGTAGTCTTTGACTGTTGAGGGGTTGAGGCTGAGCAGCTGTCGGCCAATTTCGGCAGTCATGGGGTGGTGGCGCATGCCATCGATTAAAAATTCCACGGTCGTGGCTTGGTTGCTGATGTCGGGGTAACGGGATGCGATCATTTTAGATCTGATGGCTTCGTGTGCGGTGATATACTCGTTGATGGACATGTCGGGGGTGAGTATTGTGGCTTCAGCTTGGGCTCTTAGAAATTTATGGTCGTTGGACGTGTTGGTGAGGAGGTGGGCATGAATGGCTTGGAGTAAGTCGTGGGGAGAGAGATCGGAATCAGACTGAATGATGAGATTGAGGATGGATGTCGGGACTGAGGAGAGAATCGATGCGAGAATAATGTTCTTGTGTCGAATATGCGTTTTAAGGAGGGCAGGATCGGTTGGAGGAGTCGGATTGGACGTAATGTGTTCTAGTGCATCCATGGCTGCGGCTTGGGCACGGAGTGCTAGATTCCACGTGTTATGGTTGTCGGGGTCAAGGGTGGGAAGTTGTATTTTCGGGATATGGTCCATGGTGTGTGGTGTTGTGTCTGAGGGTGTGTGTTTGTCTGATTGTGTGAGTTGGGCGAGTCGGAGTAGCTCTTGGATGGAAGCTTGTGCTTCTGCTTGATCGTGGCGGCGGCGGAGGCGGAGGAGTCTGTCGGTAGGGGACGTCGGGGTGGCTGTTTGGGAATGGAGCTTTTGGCGTCGGAGGCTGCGTGGGTGGTAAGAAAGTGAGGTGAGCGTGGTCGATAGGTTGATGGTAGGTGTGCTGGAAAGGCGAGGACGTCGGTTGGTGAAGAGGAAGGGGATCGCGAGCGTATGGGCGCATAACCTGTGGGAACGATGACCCCTTTTACCTCCTGTGTTGGGTTCCACTACATGCTACTTATACTGATTCCATTGGATGTACACGTGTGAGGTCTGTCAAGTACAGCCCTCCATCCAGCTGCCGAGTTTCGCTCTCTGTACATGTTTTCAGCTTAAATGCCATTACTTTTCGTGAAATTGAGTCAAAATTGGGGATTTATGGCAGTAGCTAGAGAAAAAACTGAGAGAAAAAAACGAGCAAAAAAACAACGAAAAGCACTTTCCTTGGTAAACCCTTGGCACACGCCACCGTCGCAAGGCCCTCCTCCATCTCTGGACCGCCTTTCCGACGTAACCACCTCGAAGAAACTTTACTCTACAGCATACGTCTTGTCGTAACGCGCCTTCCACGAGCGCAACACAAACCTTCAAGCTCCGTCCCTACCTCACTCCTTCGTCATCTCAGATGCTAGCCATTTCGTCACCGTCTGTCCTTTGACCCTGCCCCACTGTCCGTGTGCCCCACGTCCTTGCGTCGTTCCTCGTCAAAGAACCGGTGCCCCAAGCACTCCTTGCTTGTGGCCCGTTTGCTCCCATCCAGTGCCAGCATCGGCTCTAGAAACTCGCTAACCATCTTCGAGTCTTCCTTTGAAAATTTGTACTTTTCCTCCAGCACTTCTACCAGAGGAAAGTAGTCCAGCTTCCGGATGTGTCGTAGCTGCCCGTGCCTGTTGAAAAGCTCCCGCGAAAACTCCCCTCGTCTCGACAAATGCCGCGGCATCGGCCCCAGAAGCTCTATTATCAACGCCAAGTGATCCTCGTCCCGGTCGTATCCTACCCCTGAGTGCGGGTCGAACAGATAGTCCCCAGTTAGCATTTCGAAAATAAGGCACGCCGCAGACCAGATATCCACCGAGCTGTCAAACTTGGCCCCCAGGATCACCTCTGGCGATCGGTACTGCCGCGTTTGAATGTCCTCCGTGAAGTGCTTGTCCGTCCAACATGCATTGCCCAGGTCTGCAATTTTCACCAGGCCCCGCGAGAACATCACGTCCTTGTCCACGATTCTGCTCAGCTCGAACCGATCCCCCACTATCCCGCTGTTTCCGCTGCTCGTCCCCTTCTCACCCTTTTGCGACACCCCTTCATCCTGTCCACCTGGTAACACATCTGCTCCTTCTCTCACCTCTCCGTTCCCCGCGGAAATTGAAGCCCCAACATGCTCGCTACTTGTCGTTTTTGGTCCCGCAGCGGTGCCCGCTTTCTTCGCCCGCGCCTTCATTCGCTTTTTCTGATTTCGCTTATACTTGCTTCCGCTCCCATACCGTCCATTCATCCTGCCCGGCGCCACAAAATTCCCCGACAGAATCGCCTGCCGCCGCTTTTCCTGCACAATGTCGCCAAAGATGGCGGCCTGTCGCTCTATCTCAGTGACCATCTCCTCAGGGATCTCGAACAGCACGTTCTCCGGCTTGAGATCCGTGTGAATAATGCCTACCTCCTCGTGGAGGTAGTGCAGCCCCTCGAGAATACATTTCGAAAGCGTGCGCACGATAGAAATCGGCGCGCCCTTGTAGTTGAAGCGCTTGACGAGACGTAACAGCGAGCTCCCCAGCACGTCAAACACCAGACAAATATGCCTGCCGTTGGGCCCGTAATGATCAAAGTGGTCCAGAAGCGAAATCACAGGCGCGCGAGCGTTCGGGTCGCCCCGTCTTACCGCTTCCAGCAGCTTGATCTCATCCTTGGCCGCCTCGGTGTAGTCCAGAGCGCTCTTCTGAATTTTCAGGGCCACGACGCGATGGTTGGCGCCACCGGCGGCGGAAGAGCTTCCGGGCGCCTGGCTCAGCCTCGGGGACCGTCTAGTGGTGTCCAAACACAACCAGACGGTGGAAAAGTGTCCCGTGCCAAGCCTGCAAAGTACGCGGTACGCGCCATTCTTAAAGCTATCGCCAATTTGAACCGGGTGGTACCCCCCCTCCTTCATGCCTCTGGCCTCGATGCGCTCGCCCTGGCTGCTCTCCGAGTCTTCATGGAGCGGAAAGGACGGGTCCAAGGCGGCGGGCGGGGCGGTGGGCGCGGCGTCGGGCGCGGCGTCGGGCGAGGCGTCGGGCGCGGCGCGGGCGCGCTTCTCGACGGCGGTGGTCATGGGGAGCACAGGCGCAGCCGAGCCCGACACGCAGAGCAACGAGACGGGTGGGTGAACGGAGTGGGCGCGGTTGCGAAAGCCAAGTCGCCGCGCAGACGGGGATGCGGAGAACGGAACACTGGATGGGGGGGAGGGGAAAGTGAGACACGGAGGACGGGCGTTGACCCCCTCAAGTAACCGCGGGGAATTGAGGTGCGAGCGGAAGATTGCCAGATGGCCAATCGAGGTTTGACGACGCATGTGATGTGCGCTTGAGCGGGTGCGTGAAAACCGAGTAAAAATGAGAAGACTCGCGTGCTTAATCTAATTTACCCAACGGCACACGCCACTCGAAATCGAGATATCAAGTCAATGTCCCTGCTGGACATTTTCTCCTCCAAGTCTCGATCTGGATTGCTTTCAAGGGAGCATTTCTAATTAATTAAGACCAATTGGGCCCTTGAATTTACTGGACTGTGCTGTACCTGCGTGTCTTGCACTGCACCTCCCAATACACGAATACAGCGACCACACGTTTCAATCGTCGTGCGTAAACTCCTCTCCCTCTCGCGTTGTCTCTCTAGCCTAGCTAGAAGTATCGTGAGACCAGTGATGCTGCAGTTGATGACATGCGCAGGCAAACTTCCTTCATCTCTACAACCCACCATTGCGCGATGTCATGGCAAGAGAAGAATAGGTAGCCCTGTCCATCATCCCCCGGCGCCCCATGCTGCCCTTTTGCGTTGCTCGATAGCGCTTCAACTGCAAAAACATTCTGGCAGAGAAAACATTGCGCTATCATAAAAGGACATCCGGCTCATGGCGCTCTGCTTTCAGAATTCCGCAGCATCTGTGGTGATGACGGCAACGTCCTAGCTTTGCTCAAGTTAATTTACATATCTGTCTCTACTGTAGGAGGTCCTGGTGATGCGAGTTAGAGTCGGTTCTCAGGTCTGCATGTACAATCCCATCCTCTCTTCTGGTCTCAATCAAGGACGCCTGGTCTCAGCCCTGAAGGGCTGCATCCAGAAGCGAAATCGATCCCACGCACTGATTCAGGGTTCGTCCGGAGGCCTGGAAAATCGCTGCAGCATCCACAGTGTTCTTTTTCGCAAGAGCCGACTCGGGAATCTTCCTGCGATCGTGTTCCGCGACTGACGCGATCGCCCGAAGCAGTTGTTTCCCTAGACGACCATACTCTTGACAAAATCGCAGTCGCTTCTCAATTTCATTTCTTAGCTCCTTATCCTGTGTTTTCTCAAGCAATTGCGGGTCGCTGCGAACCAGAAAATAGACCAGGTTCGATACTGTGCACAGTGGATTCATGAAACCCAGTAGTTCCTTCCGAGGTATGAAGTATCGCCCGATTGTGTCTTCTGATAATCGGCTTCGAAGGTGCGATGCCTGTACGATGCGGTCACTATCCCCTTGTGTGTCCCTCCAAGAAATATCTGCATACCTCACTGCGTCTTTCATTTCTGTCATCAATTGGGCAGCGATTGCATTTCGCGTTGTCTCGTAAAATATAGCTTCACATAGAACGTACCGTGCCACTGGACTGGCACATTTTCGTAACATGGCTTGCAACGTTTCATACCCGATTCGCCTATGCTTTGGGTCATCATAGCCCGCAAGGGCTTTCCCGACGTGATGCGCCATTCCGAAGAGATTTATCTCCCGTCCAAAACTTGCAGTCCCATTCCTCAATCGCAGTATTTCGTCGAAGGTCTTAATGCGCCCATCTGGAATGCGGTCTAAAAATGCTCGTAATGTCACGATACCAGCCAACGACACGGCTACCCCAGCTTGCATTACCACCGGTGCCAAATATGGCATAACCAAATCGAGGCAATGGAAAGGCTCCAACAATTCAAATGCAGTACCGGATAGATCGATTTTGTCGTATGGGTCACGCGGCGCGCCTCCCTCCATGCCAGCTTCATGGGGACGCTTAGTCCACATCCGCAGAGCACCGCAAATATATTGTCCTACTGCCGTTGCGCTGTACAAAGTATTCATCTTCTGCTTCCTCGACAACGATTTTGTCCCGATATGTAACTTCATAAGCTCCTCGTGGCGGGACGCAGGATCCAAACTTAGGCCGTTTCTAGCCAATTGACAGACGACAGCCGGATTGTTCCATCCCAACTTGAGGAAAAGAGCCGCGCATTTATCTAAGGACTCTTCTTTCTGTTCCTCAACCATTTTTCCCTGCTTGGCAGTCGAATTTTTCTTCCGACTCTTTGATTTCTTCTTGGGTACATTCCGATCCTCGCCTGGAGGAGCCGGTAACCGACTCCAGATCATACTTTGCACGTCGAGCACTTTAGCAAGCGCAATAGCACGTTCCAAAATCCAATCCGTTGTCGTCGCCATAGGATCTGGTGCCGCTGATGATTTCTTTTCACTGGTCTTCCCTTCTGTCCCATCACCCTTCTCCTTGTTCTTGTTCACTTCCTCCGTTTCCGAATCTGCGGACTCCTTATTCTTTTCAGGGAATGACTTGGCATGTGCAGTGCCTAACACATCGACCTCAACACTGATAGAACCATCCTTCATTTGGCGGATCTGTGCGTCAGCCAGCTTATCGAGAAAGTCTAGCAACGTATCTGGGATCCCAGCAATCCGTCCCGATTGTTCAACCCCGATGCCATCATTTGGAATGAAGGAGGTCTCAAACGCTTCAGCGCAAGGAAGCATCCGATCGAACACTTTGACGTAGTCATTGACAAAAAGCCTACGCTTTTGCGGGATGCGCGGGATGACGTCACCCCACAAGCTCAGCACTGGCCGTAAAGCAAGATAAGACGTGGCCTCGAGATATGTTGAGTCAATCTTGGACGTGAACTTCTTGATGGCAATGTGCATTTCCTTGGCATTGGCATGTGTCGCAAGCAGCCGTAGTAAGTCCAACGCACCGTGCTCCAACGCGCCGGTGCATGTCTCCATTCCGTCCAAGTAGCGCGTCACAAGAAGCGGCGTCAGCTCGAAGGCGATGGCATCAATGACGAACTGAGCGGCAGAGGCGTTCCCTTGCAGTGCCGTGCGCAAGTTGCACGTGACATCGGAAAGAAACATACCCAAGGTCTTATAGGTTCTCAGGGGCACCTTCTTCTGCACCGTACGATCCTCCCACTGAAGCTTGAGCAGTATACTAGCTCCATACACGCTCTTCGGATGCTCATCGTCACTTTCCCCCTCGGCGTCTCCACCATCGACCGGCGATTCTGTCGTCTCTGCGCTAGCATGAGTCTCTTTCACGCCCTCCTTGTCGCCGCTGTCAGTGGTGCACGACGAGGCACTCTCCTGTTCCCCTTCGGCCGCGCCCAGCGTGGACGCCGTGGAAGCCATGACATGGTAGCCGATCTCCCTGACAATTATGTTGGCATTCTTCTCTTCGACTGAGTCGCCCTCTACCTCTTTTTCTTCCTCCGATACCGTTATTGGCGTGCCGGCGATGATCTCGGACCAAGCGAGAGGCAAGTCGATGAGAGGGGGTGCTTCGGCGTCGGGCTTGGCGTCAGGCCAGTGCTGGGCGGCCTCTGTGCCCGTCTGAGGGTGAAGCTGGCGTTTTTGGGCATCAGCCTCGCCTTCCATCTCAAAGTAGGGGCGGCCTTCCGCATCTTGCTTCATTTCAAAACTCTGCATTGTGGCGGGCGGGACTGGATACAGGATGGACTCTGCGGATACTGAATGACAAGTTGCGCGAGAAAGGCGCCCTTGGGATGAGTAACGAAAGAAGAGCTTGTTTGGCGTGGAAGGCTAATGCGTTGTTCAGTTTGAGTACGTAGAAGGAAACTGCAACCCCTGGCGAAGGAGACGGTGAAGCCCTGTATTTCCATTCGAAACGAGGCGATTTTGATGGGCCGCCACGCGCGTTGCAAGGGCGGGTTGATCCCTGCGCTTGATCCCTGGCAAGAGGCACGTGTTTGATCTCTACTGGATACTGTAATTGAGTGCGGTTTACTTCTGCTTGATTGGTGCGATCCAGTTGTGGGAAAACACTTACAGCTGTGTGGAGCATGAAGTCTCGAGGCAGTGAGCCACTGGAGAGAGACAATAGGAGCGGAAAATATGAGAGAGTTGAGATCAAGAGTGCTCCATTCGCATCGGGGATGCCGCTACTCGATTTAGCCGCCGTATTATTCGAACTCAGCGACACCTTTCATTCGCCAACAAGGAGGCCCGGAACCACCGCCTAAGAGGCGCGACCCATTCCCCGTAACAACCTCTCCAGGCGTCCGAATCAGTCCCACCATGGTCCTCTCCTTCAGCAAAGCCGAGCAGCTGGCCCGAACGACGCTCGCCGCCGCGCAGGAAGGCGATATCGAAGCCTTGGGCTGGATCGCAGTCGTCGTCCTTACTCTCGCTCTCATCGCAGTCGCTCTCGTGCTGTTCATCGTTGGCGACGGCAAAGCCCCATCCGCCAACAGCACAAAAACCGCCGCTCGACCCCCGAGCTACAGTGTCGGCTTACCAATCATTGGTACCCTACTCTCCTTCGCGGACAACCCATTAAAGTTGGTCTGGGAGGCCTACGCGGAGAAGGGCGAAGTTTTCACATTGCGTCTCCTGCACAAGAGACTCACTTTTGTCATCGGGCCCGACGCCTCCGAGACCTTCTTTAAGGCCTCAGATACCGAGCTTGATCAGAATGAACCGTACAAGTTTAGCACCCCGGTTTTCGGAAAGGATGTCGTCTACGACGCTACCCTAGAGAACCGCCTGCAGCATTTTCGCATCTTGTCTATGACGTTGAGGGTGAACATGTTGGAGACTTACGTGCCGCTCATGATCAAAGAGGCTGGGGACTTTTTCAAGGGTTGGGGGAACGAAGGCGAGCTCGACCTGCTTAAAGAGCTCAGCAATCTCATTATTCTCACTGGCTCGCGCTGCATCATGGGGAGGGAAATCCGGGAGAACCTGTTCGGCGAGGTTTCACATTTGATCCATGACCTCGATCAGGGCATGCAGCCGATTTCCGTCCTGGCTAACTGGTTGCCCATCAAGGCACATCGCCTCAGAGATCGCGCCAGGCGAGAAATCGGAAAGCTTTTTGAACCTATTATTCGATCCCGACGGGAAGGGAATGCCAGGGAGGATGACATGTTACAACGGCTCGTTGAGGCCAAGTATCGCGATGGCACCGCCTTCAAGGAGCACGAAATTGTTGGCAATCTTGTCGCAGGTGTACGTATTACCTCTATCGTGTTTGAGTATCTCGCTCACAATTCTATGCTTGCTTGTCTCGTGATAATCGAAATTCTGACTCTTTCTTATTGATGATGCTCGCTATGCGGGAAAAAAAAAACAGCTCTTTGCCGCTCAGCATACTTCGAGTGCTACTTCTACATGGCTCGGAATGCATTTGTTCCGAAATCCATCTGTCCTGAAGAGTGTAATGGAAGAACAAAAAGCAGTTTTGGAAGAACACAATGGCACGCTTAGTTATGCCGCGCTTGTCAAGATGAATCTGCTCCACGCCTGCATGAAAGAAACCTTGCGCATGCACCCTCCTTTAATATTTCTCATGAGAAAAGCATTAGAACCGCGATCGGTTCTGGGCGGTCGATTCGAAATCCCAGAAAATGATTATATCGTCGCATCTCCCAGTGTCGCAGGTATGTTACCGGAAATTTTCAAGGAACCGTCATCATGGGATCCAGATCGGTTCCTTCCCCCCAGAAGTGAAGACAAAGCAGCTCCATATTCGTTCCTTGGTTTCGGAGCCGGACGCCATGGTTGCATGGGTGAGGGCTTCGCTTATGTTCAGGTCAAGACCATCTGGAGTATACTCTTGAGCACTTTTGATATGGAACCTGTGGGTGAAGCCGTACCAGAAGCGGATTACAATGCTCTCGTCGTTGGCCCTAAACTTAATACTTGCTGGATGCGATATAAGCGGAAGGTTCCTTTGCCCGAGTCGAGCTGATGAAGACATCGAAGTAGTAATGGTGAAGGACACGTTATCATTCTTCTTTCGTGCCTCGCGAAGCAACCGCAACGTCTCCAATGCAAAATTCATCAATCTAGCAGACAGGTGAATAAATGTGAGTGTAGTTCAAAAGAGTTAGTTCCGCAGCAAGTAGGCGAAAAAGGCTCTCAAGTCCGTAGGTTTCACAGCGAGAGCTGATATTGCAACAATCGACAAAAAAAATTGTTGCGCGAACTCACCATGTCCCAGACGCGAGCAGGGTGCTGCGACCCCGAAAATCCGGTCGTTGAATCTCTGCCCGCGTTGCGCAACATAGCCTCCCCTCCTGGATGCAACGCAATGTAGTCTGTAAAATCGTAAACTTTCCCTCGAATGATCAACCAAAGATCTTCAGCAGTGGCGTGCTCTTCAACTTCTTCTTCCGAATACGTTCGTCTCGAGCCCCCTCCGGTTGCTTTCTGGAGCAGGGACGTATTATCCGCACCCTTCGCGGCTGTGCTGTGTCTTCGCCTGTAAATCATGTAGATCGCGAAAAAGGCCCAAACGCTAAGCACCACGATAATCAAAATTAATAACATGGCCAGTCCAGACAAAAAGCAAAAGAGTTGACGCGGTGACACTTCTCAATCCCTCCAAGACAAGTACGGGCTAGTTGGGTTTATTTGCGTCGAGCGATGGCAACGCCGGGATGAACTCGTGATAGATTTGTTCGGCGTGAAAATGAACGGGAGCTTGGGCGCCCCAATCCTCGCTCCTCACTTCGGCAAAGTCCCGATTTGCAATGCTTCTCCTTCCCGTGCAATGGGTCCCTGCCCATGAGACGACATCTACTGTACAGTAGCACCAAATCGCCTCTTCTTCAACAGCGCTCATTTTGTGCGCTGTACCCGGATGAAACGTGTCCACAGTCACAATTAATATTGCACCCACATTGTGTGGCAATTCGACTGCATAGAACTGTTTGTCACTCATGTGCTAACCGCATTCCGTTGAGGTCCACAGTGTTGATGACTTCACACAGTGTGAAGCCCGTACAGTCTGCAAACTAGTTGGGGATAAAAAGACGACGATGATCCACGATTTTCAAAAGAATATTTTCTTGTAAAAAGATGGGACCCTTCGCGCAGGAGAAGCGGTCAGGCTGATGATATTTGTTGTCCGTGAAGAGTTGCAAGATGAAAGAATGACAGATGAATCACACGCTTTGTTCTCTATCAAAACTGGCGTCACTTCTGTGCTTCTTTTAGCCTTCCCCTTGATGTTTTCTGAGAATAATATGTTTTGCAAAGCCTTTAACGATTCTTGTTTTATACGGTCACATCCACACTCCCTTTCTCTGGCCGTATCTCTGACCGTTCCAAGAGTTTAGTGTACTCGGTTAGCAGTACTTCTACGTAAGTCTTGATACCCTTGAAGCTCAGAAAGCTTCCGGCAAAATTATTCGCGTTCTTGACTATATTCTGGACTTCATCATCATGTTCCCGAGCCCAGCTCAATTTTTCTACAGTGTCAGAGAAAAAGAAATCTGTCGGAATGTAATGCGTCATCGGCTTGAGCAGTGGTTCCCAGAATTGTCCACACGGAGTCTCTTGTTTGAGTACTGCTGATGGTCCAAAGATCTGCTTGTTGAGACGATCTGCCCAAAAACAGTTACCTTCAGCATACAGAATATACTTGTACTTGTGATGCCCTTCCTCTGACAATCGTGACAGATAATGTGTTTTCCCTCCACAGGAACCACCCACACCAACATCAAACAATTCTGGATGCTTCGTTCCGAGGAAACGGAGCCTTGACCGTCCAAACTCGTCGCAGTGATCGTCGGCATCCTTCTTCTTCTGGAAGAACATGCTAGGTCGATTTCCACCTCTGAAGACAGCTTGACTAATTTTCTTTTTCCATGGCGTTGTGTCAGCTGCTTTGTATTTTTCTATTTTGTCATCCCAAGTCCTCAACCCACCTCTGACTTTGTCCCCTTCCCACATTGGAAAAGGAATGTTATCCGAAAAATTACACGACACAATAGTGAATGTAGGGTTGCTTTCCGTATAAACAGGGCCTCTGTATGTATGCTTTCTGCTTACTGTCTGAACGCAGTCGTGAATAGCAAGAAGAAACTCGGTATCAGGGACGTTGCCCTGCTTTGCAATTTCACTCAGCAACCAAATGAGTTCTTTCAGTCTTGTCTTATAGAATGGCTTCGAGTTTTGGGCCACATCATACGGATCCAGGTAGTAGACATCTATGTAGTTTAGAATAGAAAAAATTCTTACACAGTTAGAAACACATCGTCACGCAGATGACATCTCTTAATCAAAGCGCTCTTATGGCTTACGTTTTTTGATGATTTGAAACAAGATCGTTTGAATACCCTTGTTTGCCCCAGGAGGAGCCAAGGCATATGTCCTTCGTCGCAAAATTTCGAAGAACGACTGGCGCTTGATTCCACCCGCGAACGGTGCCAAGTATGCTTTGATTAGTTTCTCGTATGCACTGCGAACAGCCCTTTCGCCGAGAGGTCCTGTGCCCCCAGCAACCTGAAGCTCTTCCATGTTCCGATTCATCGGATGACTTCCTGTGGTGATTGGACCATCATCATTGTTTTTCCCCACTTCTTCACGAGAGACTTCATTCTCTGTCTCTGAAATAGAATCTGTCGCTTTTGAAATGAGCTTGTCAGTCTGTTTGTGCGCAGTGAACCGTGAGGATACACCACCACTTCTAGGAGCATCTACCTTAGACTTCGCAGGTTGAAGTTTAGTTTCACGCGATGGCGATTTCGGTTTGTGGGAAGAATAAGTTTTTTGTTTTGTTTTCTTGTTCTTGTCGTTTGCCGGTTTTTCATTCTTGGATGGGTTGTCATTGGTCTTTGAGGTCTCAGATGCCGACTTTTCCTTGCTGCTTGGCGAAAGTTCGTGGTTGTCAAAGGCACCAGTAGATCCAATAGCACCGGGTAAGGTATTTGGATCTCGCTGCATGCTCTCTGATGGGTCATTTTCAAAACTTTTTCTTTCACTCATGACTGCCCCCGGGAGATACATAACTGTGGCCTTTTTCTCACTATTTGCTGCTAAGAAACTGACGGGTGGCTGTTCAACTCGACCTGCGTCCGTCTCTGAGAAGCTGCCTTCATCTTCTGATCTTGCAGATGACAAATTGTAGAAATCTGTGATGTACAAGCATACGAAAATAGTGAACAAGATCTGATAATGTGAAGGTTATTGCAGAGTCAATGCGATGTAAGTATTTGCTAGCGTTTCACGTATGATCAGTACTATTATTGCTACTACTCGTTGCCGAATGGGTAGAGTCTTAAATCTTTGAAGCTTACAATTCCCATACCTCCTTGGGCACTCCGTAGTGTTCTTACAATTACGTTTTCGCTAGTCCGCGCATTGGATAGGGTTTTCTGATTTCTGGTTTTCTTGATACTGGAGAAGTGATTTCGATCTTCTAAAGCTGTCGATGAACGTCGTGAACCACAGACACAGCCCCCAAAAGGACAGCGACAGCCCGAACGAGCAGATGATCTTGCTGAGACACGACCTGCCGTTTTTCCGCTTCCCATGGCAGTTTCGGCTTTCTCTTCTGCTGTAAAAGATCGTGAATGAGTGGGAACAGTTAGTTCGGCTGAACTTGAAGCTTGAGACACTTGAGCTACTTGAATCAATTAGAACTATCAAATTAAATGATGGCTCTTGATTAAGCGCCGTTTCGCCATAGTTATATTACATTAAAATGGGAAAGAATAGCAAAGGTCTCATGCCATTTGATTCTTACATTTGTTTCCGCAGGAAGGAAGTTGTTGATTGCTCCCTCCGCATCTCAGGAAAAAGTCGATGAAGGCAGTCTCTGGTTTTTTGAAGGCCTGCATTGTCCTCATTTTCGTCCATGAGCCCAGTATTGGAAACACAACGCGAATGCACGTCGAAGCAGAGATTTTAAAATTGCATAACAAATGTGGGAAAGGATTACCGCAGTCAAACATCACAAACAATATACTTACAATTCGCGATGAATAAAAAATAACTACCTTTCGTCAGAAGGAACAATAAGGTTGGTCTGCTCATGCACTTCTATTTTTTTTTTCTATTGTTTCTTTCTGACAGCGCTTTTGACTGAATGTTGCTTCCAAGCTCGCTTTCATCCGAAGTATTCAGTCAAACACGTCCTAGGTTGGGCTGGACACTTGCAGTATTAGTAAAACAAGTCACTGGTGGGCTGGACTAATGCAGTGTTAGTTTTTTTCCTAATCATTGTTCTTGAAAAGTCCACAACCCGATTTGTACCTTTCTCATACTAAGAATATTTAAATAAACCCCGCACAGGCTTTTGCTTGCAGATCAAGTTTGAAACTCAGAGATAGGCTGGAAGTATCTACGATCTAGTGGAAGCCTCAATACCTCAGTGAAAAGCATTCCTCGGGATTATAGCTGGCAAGCGACAAGCTGTGTAAGTTTAAAAGTAGAGCAGGTCCTGCAACAGCACCCTTATCGCCAATTTGTACTTGATATGGACACACAATCTGAGCAACAGGCACAGAAACAAAGCCTTGTCACCGAAGCAAGAAAAATGGTCTCTTTATTTCTGGAAGCTGTGGAAACAGGCAAGCAACCCACGAAGAAGCATGAATCATCTCTAGCCTTTTCGAAGAATTCGCTGAAGGCGTTTGCTTCTTCAGAGTCCATCACAGTTGAAATATTCAGAGGTTCAGGTGGACTGCGCTCGATTGTTATTGGAGTGAAAAAGCATTGTGCTGAGAGCGATGTTGTGGAATATGGGTGTGGGGCGCTAGGAGCTCTGACTCTGTATGATACTTCAACCGTCATAGAGCTTGTCAAAGTAGGAGCAATTGATAGCATCATTATGGCCATTGCAACTCAGGCAGAAGGTGGAACAGACGACGCTCTTGTATCTGCTTTGAAAACATTGCGCAATCTTACCCAAACCGAGGAAAATAGAACTACGATCTTCAAGGCGTCTGGAATTGAGGCTGTTGTTAAAGCGATGGCTGCAAATGGTGACTATCCACGGACTCTATCTCATGGCGCCTTGGTTCTGTCAAATCTTGCGTTTGGTAACCAGATTATCAAGGAGGCAGTAGGAAATCTCGGTGGCGTAGCAGCTATTGCAAAGGGGATGAAGGATCACAGGGATTTTCAGGCTATGCAAGCTAGGGGGTCTCTGGCTCTTCGCAACTTGTGCTATCAGTCTGAAGACAACCAGAAAGTTGCTGGAGAGAACGATGCTGCGAAAACGCTTCTCGCTACGATAGGGGCATACAATGACGATCGCGAAGTTGTGCATCAGTCTTGTGTAGCGTTGGCTAACTTATCAAGCAGGAATGAGGAAAATCGTCTTCGAATTGTTGAGGCAGGCGGTGTATCGACCTTGGTGAAGCTTATGCAAACCTACACAGAGTCTTCGACAGTTAACGATGACTGTATTTCCATCATCAGAAACATAGCTGTTGGAAGTTCTGAGGCACAACTTGAAATAGGCCTCAGTGGGGGAGTTGCATGCATATGTGCCGCAATGGATAAATTTCAGAAAAGCGAGAAAATAGCTGATAAAGCATGTACAGCTCTCCGATATTTATGCTTTCTTTCAGAAAACAGGGATAGGATACGTGAACTTCAAGGAATTGAAGCTATAATCAACGCACTAAGACGAACGAATGATTCATCGGTCGTTCTTGAAAATGCACTGCTTGCAATCGGAAACGCAACATTCGGGTCTGAAGAAAGCAAGGCTATCGTTGGACGATGTGGAGGAATATCTGCGATTATTACCGCAATTGAGCAACATCGGTTAAACGCCGGGATACAAGAACATGGCTGTCGTGTTCTACGCAATCTCGCAGATGGATGCGAGCTCAATAGAAGACTTCAGGCAGAGAATGGTGGGGTGAATACTGCAGTTTTTGCGATGATGGGATATCCGGACAACGCCTCTGTACAGGAGCAAGCGTGTGCAATGCTTCTAAATATGTCTTTCAGCACTGCAAACCTTGAGCGACTTGAGCATGCTGATGTACATCGCCTAGCGGAGAAAGCTGTAAATCTACACACGAAGCATCGTGGCGTGCAGTTGCAGGCCGGAACTCTGCTGGATCGGTTGAATGGATATGACGTTACTGGTAGTGGAGAGACGAGGGCGGCAGTCACTGAACACCAGGCCCCTTCAAACAACCACAGACGAGGTCTCCGAAACCTCTTTCATACAAGCAGTTTCCGTCGAAATGCTAGGGATAGCTGATTTTGGAGAAAATGGACTGGGTTGCAGTCGGACTCCATTGAACAAGCACATTAACATTCTGTCTGCGTTCGAACAGTATGGGAGGGCATATATTCGCACTTTATCGAGCCGTGGATCTCACGCTTGTTGGTCTCCGAAAAGGCCAAGCTCACGTCACAACGCATTTTGTGCGGGTCAGCATTTATGCTGAACTGCATAGAGGTTGCTTCGCAAGGAAAAAAGAGTTTCTCCCCGTCTTGAGACGCACCTCCTTCACATGGTAAAGGATATTAGAGAAATCCACCAATGATTCAACTTTCTAGGGAGACCCCTGCGATGCCAGACCCCTGCGATGCCAGAGCCATGCAATGATCATAGAGGTAGAGAAGGTGGTAGACTAGTCACTGATTGTGCCGGACATCAATGGGGCCGTGATGAAAACGCGGACAACTGTGACAAGTTTGGCAACGAAAACAGGGTTTTATTGCCATCACAAAAAAGTTAACCATGTGCCTCCAAGTTGCGTAGAGCATACTACGATTTGCACGGTCTAAGCAAAAGAAGAGTAGCAGATAAAAGGACTCACGTATCAAAGAGCACCACCAAGCTGTATAGATTGCATACGGAACGGCAAACCGGTCAGAATGAGCATAATTGAACTTTTGCAACGCAGGGAACAGCTTGCGGCATAAATGCTTTCCAGATGGACTTTGAAACGTCATAAGGTGTGAATTTACCATTATCGCCTCCATTTCATCTTCCGTGATCGACGCTCGTGGGATGGGCTTCTCTATTCTCTGCGACGAACGACCAGGGAGGCCTAGTGACGACCTTTTCTGGGGCACGGGCGGGGCAGGTGGCTTTGGTGCTGAGAAAACAGAAATGGTCAATCGAGATTAGCAATCAAATCAGCGTCAGTCAAGAAATCCTCATTCTCTGCTATGATCGCGGGCGCTTTGAACAGATGGGGTGCTGTACCAACCTGCCGCTGGAGCTTCATACTTCACGCCAGCTCTCGCTGCTTTCTCAATTGCGTACCGGAACCGAATCAACGGTCTTCTGACCATGTTTCAATGCTCAGAGACAATGAAATGCGTGGCGATGATAGGAGCAATAGTGCGGAAGAATTATTGTCCCGATGCCGACGGTGAAGGCGACTGCCGCTGCCGGGAACGAGTCGCCTGAGCATCTCGTCGTTTTGAAACACACAAAACATATTGAAATTTCAATACTGTGCCACGTGTGCTGGTACAAAGATCGAATTCATCCAGCAAGTCTTCGGCGCCATCCACGTCATCATGCACAACGACACAGCCCTCGTTCAGCGGAACCGCCACTGGTTCGAGTTGGGATGCATATATGCGGTATGATGCGTTCTGCCGAACGAGAGGTGCCTCTATCCTGGAAACATGTACTGTACCAAGGGTACTGCAATAGAAGCAACGAAGATGCCAACATAGATTAACCGGACATCGAGTTGCCCATTTTAGGTGCAGGGTACATCATGTTTTGAAATACAGCAAATGGTTGCGAGGAATTTCGTGGGCCGACCTTGACAAGAGTACTGAAGTAGTTCATTAGAGCGTTTGTCTGATGCGGTACTTTTCCACGAGATTCCGAAGATGCGTCTCCCATCGATCTACCTTGATCGGCATGTCGAGTTCGTAGAACGGGTTCTTCATGACGTAGTCGGCGTAAAGTACATAGACGTCTCTCTATGAACGATATGGGACAGGGAGCGATACAAGATTGACTAGTTAGTATCGGTATTAAGGAGCTGAATTTGACGTCGTTGAAAATCATGACACAACCCGAATGAAACCTGATTCTAGAAAAAAGTTCTTGCACGTACCAAAAAGGACGCCAAATTTTCAGTCTTCAAGTCCGCCGTCACGAAAAACTGCACACCAGTCTCTGGCCGATACGCTTGGAGGATATAAGAGGCTGTCTGCATTGTAACAATGCCGAACCCATGATCAGAAGGCTCTGGAGAGAGCTGCTGAACTAGTAGTTGCATTCTATGGTGAAGTACAACCCAAATTAAGAGGATGGCTCTGTTAGTTTTGTTTGCTCACACGTGAATTGCAGAAATGAGCATGAGTGAAACAGAAAAAGTCGTCAAGGACGACTTGCGTGGTTTGCGTACCCGTGGAATGTTGATGCAAGATGCAAATAGTCGTTTTGAGTCAGCTGAGGAGCGCTCTCGCTGAGCTTGCGATAGAATATTAGACTTCCTGCTTTGTTGACAACAAACAAAGACTGCAAGCCCATCTCTGCAGGTGTGAGAAGTTCCTCCGGCGCAGCGGAAAAATTTAGCTACCGAGAAGTGTCCTGCAAACCTGCAGTGATGGATACCGTATGGTATATATACCGGAGGACAGAGCGTGAGGACCATTGCAGCGATCCGATGGAGCACTAGCTAGAGGACCGAAGTGGTGTCAACCTGATCAAACATGTTAAAATTTATCAAAAATTTGTTACAGGGGGAGGATGCACTACTACTTTACAATTTAGTGCACCGTCACCAATACGACCGATTCGCTAAAGCGCCATAGCAGAAAACGGCGATACGTTGAGGACGGAGAATTCGGAGGATATCTAACAACTTGATGAGCCAGTTGTTTTTCCTGAAAGACCACAGATGTCCACATTCCAAATTTGTAGCGGCACGTGCGACGATTTCCGTACCGCCTAGAGTCACAGCAAAACACGGACGCGATGAAAATAATTTGCTTTCCTACCTCCGATGAAGATCAGCGCACGCAATCACTCCTTGAACTGTGCCAGGGTTTGCGGCAAGCAGTGCAGAGAAGTTGAACTTTCTTCCCGGGTTCGCCCTCAGCGTTTGTACACACAAGCGACGCTTCGTCGTCCCTACCGTCTCTCTATCATCCATGTCAATCTCTCTGAAAAAGGACCCGGTCTTAGCATTATATACACGCACTACATTCTCCATCGACGAGCCCGTTATGATGTAGTCACGATCGTTCATGTAGTAGGACCGCGTGTAGTTGACATTTGCACCGCTTTTGGGAATGTTAAATTCGAGCTCAAGGCGCCCATCATCCGCGTGATACTGTCTGACATCATTATCCACCGCAGATACCAACAGTCGGGAATCGTCAGGAGAAAAACAAGCCGTAACGTTGTCTGTTCCACTTCGGATCTGGAAAAGTGGACGCCGCGCTCCCCCCACGCACGATTCTCGCAAGTCCCACTTCTTGACGTGTTCGTCGAAGCTAGCTGTCACCAGGATATTAGGATTGCTATGTGCAAACCTGATGACGTTAATTGGTTGCTTGTGGCACTCTCTCATCATTTCAGTCTGTCGCCCCGTACCCAGGTCAAAAATGCCCACATGTTTTTGGTACCCGCTAACGGCGAACTTAACGTCATCGCAGGCTACGTGAAGTGATGTAATTTGAGAAAAGGTATCGCACGCGTACACACAGCCGCCTCTTTCTCCACTTCGCATCCAGTGCACGTTGTACACATGAATGGCCCCGTCGTTACTTCCTGACAGCAACATATCGCTTGAGTTGTTTAGCCACGATAGGCCGTATACGGCAGCCTTACGTGTCCCAAGGCACAGAGAAGCATCAGGTCGATATAAGGACGACAGCAAGTTCAAGTCAGATGACTGCGGAATGACCTGACCTGCCCGACGACTGCCTCGCCCACCGCCACTCAGACACGAGCCTTTCACCTCTCCCGTTTCCTGATCAATGAGCACAACATAACCGTCTTCCGTCCCGTACACCAGCTCTGATGGCCTTGCGGGATTGTATTCAAATTGACGCGGTCGATCTTGCCATTGATCCAAGTACTGGATGCGAGGGGCCCCAGGCCTCTTAAGCAAAGCTGCGGATACAGATGCCTCAAAGTCACCCTCACTATAGCCCCGACAACCGGCCCTCAGAAATTTACACCGGCTGCGAAAGTCACTTTCTGCTGCATGGTACCAAGATGCGACGCGACTCTGGGAACTACTCTTGTCTGAATCTGGGGAAGATGAGCCGTCCATGCCTGAAGATTCCGGGGTCCCGGTGAATGTGGATGACTGTGGGATGAGGATTCTGCGGTCGGCTGTCGCTTTAGCTGCGCCGAGATGAATGTTGGCATTCGTAGAAGGACAAACTGTTGCGGGGACAGAAGTGGTCGGAAAACCTGCGGCATGTACAGTGGCCATTATGTCTACAACCTTGGGGGAAAGTTCCGTCGTGCGGCGCCTTTTCTTCTTTCGCATTGCAGCAGACGGCACAGAGACCTTGCGACACAGACTGCTGGATTTCGACAAGCCCTCTTCACGCAATCGAAGAAGACCAGTGATAGGCGTATTGGCAGGTACTTCTCCAGCTTCATTAAACCCCTCGAAGTTGTGCATGACTGTTCTCTTGGCTTCGTCGCGTTTCTGAGGCGTGATTCTAATACCATCGAGAAGTTTGAGAGACTCGCGTGCCTTCACAACCATAAAGTCCCAAAAGAAAGGCTTTCGCACAACTGGGGCATACAGGCTTCTCGCGCCAGACGGTCCCTGCTCGCGCATTGCAGCCATATGCGAGGCATTGAGCAAGTCATGTTCGCCGCTGAGACTGGCTTCCGCCTGAACCGTCTGTGCGCGAGCCATGCGTTGACGTCTGCCATAGCCAGACAAAACACTTTCCTGCTGCGAGACGAGCAATGCAGCTTTCGCAGGATGATTTGTCGGGGGAGCGATATACGAGAAGGGAATGTCCTCAATAGAAGCCTCCCGCCGTCTATCGAGAGCTGTAGAAATGCTTGTCAAGGCATGGGAGGCAACATTGCCGGCATCGAAACCAATTGCATGCATTGCCTTCCTGCAAAATTCCCTCATGTCATCGAGCTGCCTCTGATCATGTCCGCGGCTCTCGGTGCCGCTAACGAGAGCGGCAGTTAGTTTTCGGAGGCCGGCGAAGACCTCTGCACATCGCCATAGATTAGAAAAGCCGGTGTAGCGAAGGGATATCCAGCGTATGTCGGGAAGCTGGCGGAGTGTGTCTAATGGCAACATTCGCAAAGGACACGAGTCAAGTCTGAGTCCGACCAAAGTGGCACATGAGCGCGCCGACGATAGAAGCGGGAGCCAAGGGGTAAGCGTTAGGGAAGAGAGTTTGGGACAGTCATGGATACTGAGTTCAACGGGGGTGCCAGCTGGAAGCAAAAGACAAGCGGCGAGGATGGCGGACGCTCCACGCGGAGAAAGAGAGCGGTTGCTGGAAAAGTCGAGTGAGAGCCATCGGGAGCGCGGGCGTTTCGGGGTGGGGGTTTGGTCGTTGGGAAAGGGGAGGGGATAGGGAAGACTATACGCAGTTGTCCAAGTAGTTAGAAAACGGTGGACTAACGTGGAGTTGGCGCCATGGCTCGCGAGTAAGGCGACGCAGAGGGCGACTGCGTGGGCATCCGGAAAGGCTAGGCGGGCGGTGTGAAAAACGGGAACAGGGGGTGTGGCGAGGAGGCGTCGTACTTCGTGTCGAGTGGAGATTGCCAGGGCATGACATGCGGCATCATATACGCTTGCGGGAGGGGCGAAAAGTGAGATGGGGAGAGCGGAGAAGCGGGACGCCGAGCGGGACAACGCCATCTGCTCGGGTGCCGCTCGCTCACTCGTAGGGGCACCACGACGGGTACTGGACGGAAGGGGCAGTGGGAAGTGGGACGAGGTAGAAGCGTGCACGGTGTGAGGAGCGAGGGGGGAGGGTGAAGATGAAAACGGGGTGAGGGGGGGGGTGGGGGGCCTTGGGCAGAGAGGGGAGTTAAAAGCTGTAGATAGGGCGCATTCCACGGGCAGCTCGAATGGAAGGCACTCGGCCGGTCTAACAGGGCATGCGGAGCAGGATCTCAAGGTCGGTCCCCGCCTCGTTTTGCGCCCTCGCTCCTCTGCGATGACTTTGAAACGAAAGCGCAAAATTTATCCTCTTTTCACGCCCACTCAAGCACCCCCCCCAGCGGAAATTCATTCTTCCGTTCCAGCTTCCAGCACCCGTCGCCGCCGGCCCATTCCTCCCACGCTGCACCCGTGTAACGGGCGGTACGGCGGCCCGCTCGGCGATCTCTTCTCCCCCGATCGGGTCGCCACGTGGCGGCGCCAAGCGGCTGCCTTCTAACAAGCCATCAAAATTGGTCCAGCATCGGTCCGCTCGGGGCCGAGATGCCCCCACCCTCAGCTCTTCTGCCCGTAAGGCCCCCCGAGCGTTTCGCGCCATTCCACGCACCGCCGGCTGCAGTACGCCCTCACGGCGACATTGGCCCCCGCCCCCAGGATGCCCGTTTTGCCCGCTGTGCTCTTTGGCCACACACATCTCGCTTCGTTCACCAAAACGCCGGCCTTCAAGTTGTGAGGAAGCCTCTGACGCGCATGGGTACACATCTTCACTCATGTTCGATGCAAGCAATCTAAACTGCGACGTACACGAATACTCCACTCTACCATCTTCGTGGTACAATACTGTTCTCATATAAAATAACGGTGCTTCCCACCGCAGCTTCCCCGCTTGCTTCCAAGCCCGCATGAACCTCAATCGATACCACCTCCACCATGTCGCGCCCTCCTTTTTCTACGGTGAAAAGTGGCGTCGGATGCGTCCACGCCACTGGGAGAAAGCGCCTTAAAATGCTTACGCCTCCGCCAGCGGAATCCCTCCCGAATTTCGGGTACCTGGCGCTGCAATTTCATTGGTTGCGCTGCATCTGCCTCCCACATTTCCCTTACACGTGTCGCATTGTCGCCCATATGAGGGGAGCGTGCCAGGTTCGGACCATTCAAGAGGGCAAGAGTGCGGATGGTGGCGTGTGCAATAATCGGCATCTTTTTTTCTTCACTACCTCGTTCAACGCCTCCGGGGGAGAGCGGAGGGGTGTGTTAGAGCGGCAAGGAAAGGGCTGGCTCGCTTTTGTCTACGGCTGCGCGTCCTTGCACAGTATTGGATGCTATTGGTATTGATACTGAAGCATGCCGGTGAGGAATGGGGCAGCCTGTGGTTTTTTTCGGGCGTGCAATTTATGACGGCAATTTATGACAAGTTCAGCGGGAGGGATGGGCTGAAATCCTCTCCATATGTCGACTCTGTTGAGCAAGTCTGCAAAGCCTGACAGTACTCAGGGGCATTTTTTGTCGTGTGAGTAGGTTGCTCTTGACCTCGAACAAGTCCTCACACCTCCAGCCTGCTCACAAACACATCATCAACGCTTGTCGACGGCATTGCTCTACAGCCCTCACGAGTCACGAGTTCAGGTGTTCATTTGACACGCAGGTCGTCTGCATGACCAAACCAATGTTTGAATTATTTTGAAAAACATCCGAAGGTTTCAAGAAGCAGTCGTACTGTGGCAGGCAGCAGAACAGCTATCATCCAATCACTGTACGACCCCTGTGTACTAACCACTGGTACAGGGTTTGGGATCTAAAGCGCCATCGCATTCAGCCATTGGTGGCAAGCAACGGCAGGCATGTAAACGAATGGCTCGCACTGCCTTTCGCATGCACTTTCTGACCCCACACCGCCCACACCGGTCACATCCAGCCGCTTCACTCCCCGCTCACCGACAATGGTGTCCCAATCTCCGCCTCCTCACTCTCCTCATCCGTCCTGTCTTCACTCTCCTCCTCTTCCCTGACCTCACCAAACTTTCTTCTACGCTCATCCCACACTCGCGGCAACGACTCGCGGCAACGACTCCCGGCGCCTCCACCCTCGACCCCAAGTCGTCCCGCCACCCCCCTCCACCACCATGCCCTCCGCCGCTTTTGTCACCCCGTTGTCCACGGTCCCTCTCTCCTCCACCAGCTCCTCCCTCACGCCGCGTTTCGCCGCCCCCACCCCTATCGTGCACCGTTCTCTCCCAAGCTCTGTCCGCCGTGCCCGCATGACCGCTGCCACGGGCAAACCGGACGAGCCCGAGCGCCGCGGCCGGGGTCTCATCCAGCACAAGCGCGAGGCTTTCTGGTTTTACCGTTTCCTTTCCATCGTGTACGATACCATCGTCAACCCCTTCCATTGGACCAAGGAGATGCGCGACCGCTCGCTCACCCAGGCTATGCTTGAGTGCCCTGGCCGCGACTTGAAAACCGTCGACGTCGGTGGTGGAACGGGCTTCTGTACGGAGGGCGTCGCACAGTACATTGATACCAAGAATATCACCTTGCTTGATCAGAGCCCGCACCAGATGGCCAAGGCAAAGGCAAAGGAGAGTCTCAAGGGCGTGACTTTCGTGGAAGGTGACGCCGAGAATTTGCCGTTCCAGAGCGGGGAGTTTGACCGCTACACGTCAGCAGGCTCGATCGAGTACTGGCCGGAGCCCCAGAGGGGCATCAAGGAGGCGTACCGCGTGTTGAAGCCTGGCGGTGTGGCGACTATGATCGGGCCCGTGCGGGCAACCAATTGGTTTTCGCGCTTTTGGTGCGACTTGTGGATGCTCTTTCCCATGGAGTCGGAGTATATCAAGTGGTTCACGGCAGCCGGGTTCACGAACCTCGAGGTATCTTATATTGGTCCCAGTGCGTACAAAGGCGTGCGCCAACACGGGCTAATTATGGGCTTGACAGTGACGGGGACTAAGCCGGCACAGGGACCGTTGGAGAGTCCGCTGCAAATGGGGGAGATGCTGGAGTCGAGGCAGAGGGAGTTGTCGCTCATCGATCGGCTGTTGTTTTTACCAAAGTGGTTCATTGGGGTTCTTGCGGGCGGTTATTACTTTGTCTTACCCTTCTTAATAATCTTGTACGCGGCGCTTTTCATTCGCCGGAAAGAAGCGTAGGCAAGGGTTTGCACCTGTGAAACAAATTAATCTAGGACCCTTCTTTAAATTACCCACTGTCACAAATGCCTCACTCAAAGCAAGTCTCTGACAAGAAAGCATATTGAATTCTATGGAAGATTTAAAAATACCCGAAAAGCGGAAGCCAGTCGCTTTCTTGAATATGCTATCTACAGTAAGTGGACATAATTCTTGTAATTCACCTTTCCTACAAGCCGAATAAAAGTCCGCAGTCTTTGCAAGACGGCTTCTCGTTGTCTTGGCAACTGCATTTGTAGCATCCCATCAAGCAGGCGGTACGGCAACATTCGGTAGCCATCGCGTTCTAAGTTGACCTGAAATATAGCGTCCCCAGTCAACTGCCCAGTTTCGTCATCAATCCGAAAGTCCTCTGCATGAGGAGCCGGCGGCATGCCCTCAGGCGCAAATCGTAAAACTCGCCCCGTTGCAGAGTCGAGACAGCTTCGAGCATCAGTAGCAGGAATCCAGTTCTTTGTTTCTTCACAAAGCATCTCTGACGGAGAGAAAGCCGCCTTATACCTCATCTTCGAACAAGAATGAATATAATATCCCATATAATAATATCGCAAAGTTGGAAAAATTGTTGAAGCCCTCCTAACCCACTCCACTTCCTTCACAGCAGACAGCGTCCCGGGGGAAAGTTTTGCAAACTCTGGGTCATAGAACAAATAAACAGAGCTCAAACACTTCGGCAGAATGTCGACAACGCCGACGGCGAAAAGCCTGCCACATAACCGGTATTGCATGTGGTACGAACCATACAATCGCTCAGCATCACTTGCTCGACGTACTCTTGTCAGCGGAGAGTCGACAAGAAATCTCTTGTATGTTTCCTCTGTGCACTGGTCAGCGTCCTCGTGATGGACCGTCATCTGATACTTTTGGAATATCTCGTACGCTTCTTGGCGATACTCTGCGGGTACGAGTTCCATTGTGAACGATTTCCCCTCAGAGAGTTCCTGTAAAATCGCATCAGTGCGCGGCAAACCGGCGCTTCTTGCTTCACTCGACCCGTCGGAAAGTTGCGAGCTTTCAGTCTGCATGAGCCCAGGAACATCTTGCGGCCCGACTGTTTTATCGCTGGAAGCATCTGACCCGATGCGACTGAGTGGAATTGTCTTGGCTGTGATGGGGTCTTGAAACTGTGGAAGCAGAGCCTCGCTTGGTGGTATCGGGATTTGCAAGCCGGCTGGAAGACCCATCTGCTTGGCAGGCTGGACTTCCATGCACTTTTGAGCGCTGACACCGTGATGCATGGACGTAGTGCTTTCGCCAGCTTGTTCGTCGTTGGATATAAAAAAATTTAGAAAGCCAGGCTCCGTGACGTCGACGTGTTGGTTTTCAGGCAGGGCCGCTTCGAGATGGCGACAGAGACATGAGGCCAATTCCATCTGCCTACGCATCTGCACCCGCTTAGTTGCTTTCATCTGAGGATTGCTCTCACCCCCTTTCCGTCGCGCCTGGGCCCTGTTCTGAACGTCTTCCTCCGTCGAATGCGTGGGGGGTTGCGCTATCCGTTCTGCCGAAGCGATGACGAGGGCGACATTGCTCGTCAGTCGCAAGGTATCAGGGTCGGAGAGAGACGGGCTCTCCGGTTGTGCAGACGACGGCGGAGTTCGTTTTCGCTTCTTGTTGGTGCTACTGGAGGCTCGTGGCGGGTAGACCTTGACCTTTGATCTGACAGAATCCACAAGCGCTCTCGGCGGAAAGAGGGTAGCATCCTTTGAATCACACAAGACAGCATCAATCGCCGCGTGCGTGGCGTCGGACAAGAGGCGTACCAATTTGGCACGGCCGCCATCGAGGGCGGAAGGCCCAATAAGCGGGGCATGCAAGGTTTTCGGGGGATCCGGGATGCGCAGAGCGGACGAGTTGGAAACCGAGGAGGAGCTAGGGGAGAGGGGGCTGGGGTGATTGGCGTGGCGACGCAAGCGCTTGAGCACGCGCTTCTGGGTGGAGGATGGGATGAATCGGGTGGCGTCCAGACGGATGACGTACGAGGGACAGCACGTGGTGACGAGGTCCGGGCGGTAGAGATAGGAGCCGGAGCGACGCCAACCGGCGTCTAGCATGTCCTGATAATCGCGGACGTCGAGGTTGTGGGCCCACGCGCCAAAGTTGGCCGAGGTGTACTGCTTCTTGCAGTAGCCGCAGCGCGTGCGGTCCGTACCGATGCACTCGAGGTGGCTGCGGGGGTGCGAGGGATCCATGGTGGATGCAGGGAGAGTGGGGAAAGTGGGAGGGGGGAGGAGGGGGGCGGGAATTGCGAGGATGTCAGCCTAAGATGAGGATGTGTGGGGAGGGCGAGACGTTGTGACGGAGAAAGGGGATTTTAGGGACGAAACAGATGGAGCCAAAAATGGAAGTGCTTTTAACAATGGGCGTTATGATGCGGTGTGCTCTCTGCACACGCGCGCAGATTTCTGGTTCCTTCACGTGAAAAGATGGGAAAATGGAGCGAAAAGAAATGCAACTCCCAACCACAGCGGCTGCTTCCTCCCTTCGACCCACTCGCCCCTTCTTTGGCTCCTTGGCGGGCTGCCGGGCATAAGACCATACGTGATTCTAGTCGATTCCCATTCTTTTTGCCTACTGTGCACTACTTGCCTCGGGATTCTTTGGATCATGAGGTCTTGTGATTTATATCACACTTTTAATATTCTGAATTTTCGTGTCTGAATACGACTGCACAATAGAAGGCTGGCCCCAAGTCTCCCCCTGAACGCAGTCCATCCCTCGCAAAGCGCTTGTCACTTTTCTCCCTCCCCGCCGTTCATTTACTGTACCCTTGTACTGCATGCATTGCTACTTTCTCCGTCCCGTGCGCGAGTGACACCATGCCATTACCACTTCTCTCGCTCCACCGTTATTGACGGGACTTCATCCCGACGACAACATCATCACTGCAGTTCAAAAAAACTTGAGATTTAGTGTAAACCTACAAACCTACATACTGTAGAACGGGGTCGCATCGACCGCACAAATCAATACTGGATTCGATATATATCGGGTACAATGTGCTCTCATTGTAGCCAGACTATTCCACACCCTCGATCCGGTCTTCGACATCACTGTACAGCTCGCGAAGTCGGTCGAGATCGTCATCTGATGCCTCCCAGTATCCTCGCCCAGCAGCCTCCAGGAAAGTCGTTACCATATCACGGAAACTGTTGGGGTTCAAGTCCAGAAGTCGTTTTTGCATCTCCTCGTCCGCAATGAACGTGTCATTCGCATCTTGAAATACAAAATTATCTACTTCACCAGAAGTAGCCGCGAATCCGTACGTGTTACGAAGACGCTTCGCGATTTCCCGGGCACCTTCGTATCCTGATGCCAAGTTGCCCTCAATCCATTTCGGGTTTACCAACTTAGTTCTTGTGTCTAGTCGAATCGTCGCAGACAGCGACCTTACTTGCGCGTTAGCAGTGGTCGTATCTGCGATGAACGCCTTGGGTTTCTTTCCATCCTTGCGTAATCTCTGCACCACCTTCGTCGGGTCAGAGTCCAGGTAGTGAGACACATCAGTCAATGAAATCTCACCGCTGTCAAGGTTTTGGAACGTGACATCCACGGTCGAAAGAGACTTTTCGAAAATCTTCTGGCTCACCTTCATCTCTCCTGGGCGGTCCGCGTTAAAGGCAAATCCCTTTCGAGACAGGTACATGTCTTGAAGTTGGTTCTCGTCCTCCCATCCACCATTCTCAATGGCAAGAGACACATTTGCTGAGTAGCTGCCTGAAGCATTCGAGAACACTCGAGTCGCAGCCTCTCGCACACTCACCTCCAATTCCTCTGCCTGCTCGATGGCATGCTTGCGAACAAAGTTCATCGAACCATCCTCATCAGCTTCCGCTGCCATCTTAATCGCTTTGTCCATCAGGGCCATTTGGTTGATGAACAAATCACGGAACACGCCTGAGCAATTCACAACGACATCCACACGCGGCCGACCAAGTTCTTCCAACGGGATGAGTTCAACCTTGTTCACTCGACCGAGAGGATCAGGAAGCGGCCTAGCCCCAATGAGCCAGTAGATCTCCGCGATACTTTCTCCCGAAGTCTTCAAGCAATCTGACCCCCACATCATCACACTGATTGTCTCTGGTAGACATCCGTCCTGTTGCTTCTGCTGTTCTAAGAGTCTGTCCACAACAACCTTGCCCGAGTCAATCGCGGCAATGGTCGGAAGGCTCTGCGGGTCCAGAGCGTGGATGTTCTTACCGGTGGGTAGCACATCCGGATTACGTACAGGGTCGCCTCCAGGTCCGGGTGGAATGAACCGCCCCTCAAGGGCATTGATCAACGCACCCATTTCGTTATCAGCAACTACTTGTCGTAAGCAAAACTCGAGATATTCGATCATACCCGCGATGTCCTTGTCCTCAACGTCAGGGAATCCTGTCGCCTTCAAGGCCTCGCCCATGGGAGTCTTAACGCCCATCACCTTTTCGAGGAGAGCTCCGAGGTTGAACGCAGCAACAGCCTCGATGCGCCCTTCGCCGTTGACAGAGTTCTGGACCAGGGCGGTCACAGCAGCACGACTGCCCTCGGTAATCTTCTGAAGAAGATCCACGTCAGCTAGAAAGCCGTTGTCGGAGTTCTTGTACACTTCGTCAATGTCGCGGCCAATAGACTCCGCCATAACTCTAGGGAGTGACTTGACAGAAATCTCTGCCTTTGCATCAAGACGATCCAAACTGGCAATACTAACCAGTGTGGCGGTAGCCTCCTGGGCTGTCGGCGGCTTACCAATGGTGTGAAGGCCAGACGGTAGCAGGCGTGACTCAATTTCGATGAGCTTCTTGTAAATCTTGCCGACAAGCAAGTCACGAGTCTCCATGTCCATCGTTTTGGCGTCTTCCTCGGGCAACTGGACATCCTTGTCCATGTTCACCTGGCGCGCCAGTTCAACAATAGAGTTCACAATGCCACCTGCACGGCCAGTTTCCTTCTGTCCCTGGTATGAAGCAACCAATTCAGAGAGCTCCTTGAGACCTTTGTACAGCCCGGCATTCTCAGCTGGAGGCGTAAGGTACGAAATCGTCCCTGCATAGGAACGACGCTTGGCGATAGTTGCTTCGGAGGGATTGTTCGCAGCATAGTAATACACGTTGGGAATCGAGTTGATGAGCTTGTCGGGGTAACAGCTACCGGACATACCAACTTGCTTTCCAGGCATGAACTCAAGCGAACCGTGAGTACCGAAGTGCAAAACGGCATCAGCCTTCCAGATCTTTTCGAGGTATGCGTAGAACGCAGCAAACCCATGATGTGGCGACGCACTCTTCGCAAACAAAAGACGCATCGGATCGCCCTCATATCCAAAACTGGGTTGGATACCGATAAACACATTTCCGTACTGCTTGCCGTAAATGACCATGTTTTGTCCATCTGTGTTCAAATGACCCGGAGGCGGTCCCCAATTCTCGTGCAAATCCTCTTGGTACTCACAAACTGAGGTATATTCGTCAATGGGCATGCGATAGGCAATGTTCAATTCCGGGGAGCTAATGCGCGCCTCCTTGTCGTGCAGAAGTTCCTCCAGGAGGGCTTCGGGCGAACTCGGAAGATCATCAACCGTGTAGCCTTCTTGTCTCAAGCCCTGCATGACCTTCCATGTAGAGCCGAAGACGTCGAGGTACGCCGCTGTGCCGATATTGCCCTTGTCGGGGGGAAAGGAGAAGATCGTGATGGCAATTTTTTTCTCGGCAGTCTTCTTTCGTCGAAGTTCGCCCCACTTGAGTGCACGTCGAGTAATGTTGTTGATGCGGTCCTGAAGCGGAATTGAACGGCCGGTCTGGCCGTCTCTTCCAGCAAAAATTACAGGCTCAATGGCACCGTCAAGCTCTGGAAGCGAAACCTGCAGTGCAACCTGGACGGGGTGAAGACCGAGATCGGATTCCTTCCATTCCTCGGTAGTCTGAAACACGAGAGGGAGAGAGCACAAGTATGGTCGGTCAAGCTTCTTCAATGCAGCGATGGCCTTCGGGTGATCCTGACGAGCCGGTCCACCGACAAGTGCAAACCCAGTGAGCGATACGAGGACGTCGATATTGGCATTCTCAGTGCCCTTGTGGAAGAAGAACTTTTCCATGGGTAAAGAGTAGTCAAGACCGCTGGAAAAGACGGGAATAACACGTGCGCCATTCGCTTCGAGTTCAGAAATTAGGGAAACGTAATGGCAGTCATCGCCTGTGATCATATGAGTCCTTGCAAGAACCAGTCCGACGGTCGGAGACTTGTCGGTAAGATTGGCAAGTGGGGCATGTTCGCTGTCATACCACTGCATGTATTCTTCGAGGTCCTCAAACATGCGTGGAGCGACTGGATGCCAAATCCCAACGTCTGGATAAACAACAGGATCAGCGACCTTTGCCGGGATGGGTGCAGCAGACACGTACTTGTCCGTAATCATGAGGAGGAAGTTTTCGATGTTCTCCGTAGAGCCACCAAGCCAATATTGGAAAGACATCATAAAAGAGCGAGCGTCTTGGGCCTTGTCGTTGGGAAGGTACTTGAGAACCTTGGGAAGCGTTCTCAAGAGCTTGAGCATGCTATCCTCGAAGGCGGCGCCGTTCTCCTGCTTCTTCTTGCGCATGAATTTGCCGATGGCGCTGGTGCTTCCACCAAGCTGAGACATGGAAAAGGAGCCGAGCTTGTTGAGTCGCATGACATCTGGCATGGAAGGGAAAATAATACAGGCGTCGAGGTTATCACGCATAGGCTTGACCGCTTCGACAACGAGCTCGGCCAAGTCCTGGACAAAGATCAAACTGCCAATGAAAATATTGGCGTCCTTCAAGTCCTCTTTGAGCATCTGAAGATTGGCAGGGTCTCTTAACTCCTCGAGCAAGTAGCCCGAAACCTCCATGGAGATGTTTGCGTTACCGGAGTTAATCTTGTTGGCGGCGGCCGTCATGGAGCTCTGGTACTGGCTTTCCAGAACGATGTAGACGATCTTGACGCACTTGCGTGTGTCCTCCGGCGGGGGCATAACCTTGCGGTCCGAGGGCTTAGACTGAGTGAAAAGGCCATTGCCACCGACGCCGACAACTGCGCGGGTGTTGGCGGCGCCCGTGGACGGGCGCGAACGGGCGGTAGAGGAGGAGGAAAGGGGTGTGACGAACGAGGAATCGGAAAGCACTGGGCGCACTCGGGGGATGACGGAGCTGCCTGCACCGGGGATGAAGCCGAGGGAGTCCATAGCGAAAGGAAGGGTGGGAGTGGGGAAAAACTGTGAGGGTTGCCAATGAGAAGAGGTGCGTTTGGGGGGCGGGAGGGGGGGGGGGGGGGGGCCGTCTGCTTTGTCTTCGAGGTTTTTATAAAGGCGGTGCTGAGATAGCGCTC